TGCCATACGACGAATTCTGAAAGCTTAGTCTCATGTATTCGAGAAACGGTTGACATGTGTTAACGTCAAAGGCAATAAGTGCATTTAGAAATTTATTGCAATACGAAATTCGTGAATAGAGTTCCAGCGTGTCTCTTCGCTTAGAAGGTTTTGAAATTAACGAGGCAATATGAGAAAGCGAGAATGAAAGAGAGTATATGTTTAAGCGTGCAAGAATGGTGGTAATATTTTAAAAATTCTGATAACAATATTGGTAAACTTTCGTGAATGAATTTGGTAATTAACGCTTCTCGGGGAATGATCGATAAAAACGATAGATATGGGGAACCAATGTACATATGTATAATGAAAGCTAGGGAGAACTTCACATAGCTTTAAGCTTTATTTCCATTGTCGAATTTTTCTAAATTTCGACAGCAAAAATCTCTTTATACGTTTAACGGGAATTTGGAGAATGAACGAGAGGCGTGAAAGAGTATGCATAGATGAATGCACGAGTGACAAAGATCTAGAAGGGAAAACGGTGAAACTGAAGGAAGTTGGTCGGTTGTAACAGTTGAAGCAACTAACGGTGTTGTAGAGCTGGAGAAATATTATTCGGTCGATTGGTCGCTCGTGCGCTGTAAATATTGCATTTTTGCGGTCGCAAGATTGCTGAAGGATTTACGGTGCAGAAAATATTTGGCACAAAATTTTAACAGCCATCTATAGCTGGGCAAAGCGTCTAACAAAATACTGAAAGCTCGACGCGAGCATAACGCCACGCAAATTTGCAAAACAATTGACAGTGACGAAATCAAGTGACAACTCTTTCTAAGTCGCTACAATATACTTGTGAAGGGATCACGCAATCCCTTGTTGCAGGAGCACGACAGCGTGATGCTTGGTGAGATTTCGCCCCATCGCGAGTACTACGACAGTAAATCATCCACCGAGACCCCGCCAAGTTACAATCAGCTCAACTACAACGAAAATATCGAAAGGTTCTTTAAGAGTAAACCGCCAGTTGCCACCATGTACGGCAGCGACGAAGAGAATATTAATTCCAGCAATGACGAGGGTGGAAAGACAAGTCCGAATTCAGCCGGTGAGTATTCGTTGTGAAACTTCACTGTTAAATTACCTAGCAAAGAAGTAAAGAATTTTTGAATTTTGACATTCGAATATTTTCGTGCAATTAGCAAGGAAGTGTATGTCACCGATAAACGGAAGCGGTGCAAGCGGTAGCGGTAGTGCAGAAAACCTCAGTAGTGGTTCGAATAATCAAACAAGTTCAGCTAGTAGAGGTAACACATCGAACACGACTAGCACGGAAAGCTTCAAGCCTCCAACGTTGACGGAATCGTTGCTGAACCGACATAACGAGGATATGGAGAAGTTGATGATGCAAAAGCACCGGGAACTTCGGTGTAGCTTTAAGAACAGCGACAAGCTGAAGGATTCTCGAATAAAGACAACCGAGAAAATGTCCACGGACCCGAATACGCATTTTCTTAACCAAGGTCACGGCGTTAAGAGAAGCGGAAGCCATAGTTGGGAGGGAGACAGTTTCAAAGTTAGTAATCCATCGACAAATCCGCGTAATTGTGAACCGAAGAGTTACTATGAACGTCGTTTAAACGTGTTCGATTCTGTTTTATCAGATTTCAAAACACGACGAGGTGTCAAGAACGAGTACCGCGGGTCAGTTTCCTACGAACGTTGCAACAACAGTCACAAGTATGAGCGTCGATCAATCAACCGCAATTCAAACAGGTGCTAATATCAACTTGTGGCAACCTTTATCTGTTACTGTACCACCTCCACCGCCTGCTCAACCACATAATGTGCCACGAAAGTAAGTGTTCCTTGATCAAACGAGGGATAAAATATAAAAGGAAGAATGAAGGAATACGTACGAAAATAAAAGGTGTAATCGACTGCACAAATTAAATTGCGATTTCTTCAATTTCAGTACAAATTCACAAGCAATACCCAGAATACCAGTACTGCCGCCAATGATACCAGTGTATTATGTTCCCGTTCCACAAACTAACGATCCTGCAGCTTTATCATCTCTACAGGAGAAACTTAGCCCGCCTCAATCAATGCAACCCCCGCAATCAAATCCTTATAGTACGTATTTCTTTTGAATTTAAAATATCGCTATTTATTAGAAATTCGTAAATTCCAGACTAAATAATACTACGAATTTTTTAAACAATCAAGGAAAATTGAAATATCGAAACTAATTTCCAGTGTTTGTGCCAGTTTCATATGTGACGACAACGATGGCTGGTGTCATTTATCCTCCAGTAATAGGTGCTCCGTCATCCGGCATGATGTACAGACCTTTTTTGATCCCTGAACAAACACCAGTCACGCGTGAAAATAATAAATCTACAGTGAATAAATGTTCCGATCGGAAACGACCAGCCAGTCAAGCAACAAGCGTAAAAGCAGAACCAGGCAGCACTATGGCCATGTCTGAATCTTCTAAAAAAGTAAAATAACTCTACTGGTCAACCATTTATTAAATAGTTCTATTAATTTGTATGTATATTGAACGTTTAATAATAACTAGGTATTATCCCCTGGTGAATTGTTCTCTTCTTGCGTAAGCAATGATGGAGGTTGCTCAAGTTTAATAGACGCACCAACGCCACTGAATCAAAAAATTCACAAACAAAATGACTACAACGTGGATGAGTCGAGTTCATCGAGCTTTTATAGTAGTTTTCTGTACAAGAGCAGTGACAGCAGTTGTAACCCAGATCAAAAGCCAACCGAATATCTGCCAGAAGTAAGTAGCATTCTTCTTTTTCTTTGTCTGATAGTATTTACTTAAGGAAACTTGTAATACATACAAATATATATAATCGACCACTTGTAATTTATCAAAAGCGTTCAGAATGTATTTTAGTCAGGGAAAAGTCTGATTTATTTATTGGTAAACATTTATTTATAGGACAGTATGAAGCAACATTATGGTAAGCGAAGGAAAGAACCACCATGGCTCGAAGGTGTCCAATTAACTCCAGAATTGATATACGAATATCAAATACACCCAAAGACACTAAACGAAGTACTTCAAGCTGATATGGATGCCTTAAAAAATTTTAATCAACCACTTTTGGTGAACGATCAATTGGGTCAACTTTATTTGGACTTGGAGGTCGAAGGTTTCGAAACGAAGCTTGTTCTGGAAGATGGAATTACTTCCAGTGGTAGTGACAGCGGAAGTAGTAGTGGAAGTTGGACAGTCGGCACAATGTCGCAGGTAAACTTTGATTTTAAAGCTGTATGTTAAACATTAAGTCTCGATGACATACGAGTACCGATTTTGTATCAACTGTAAATTATTTTGTAAACAAATGAAGAAGCATAAACCAGCACAAGATTTTTTATTAAACATAAACATAGTTTATAGATTTTTTTTAAAAGTCACTAAATTTTTAATTTTCAATCTTATGAGCGACTATTTTGTAATAGATAATTGCTTGTCGTACGAATAACTAATATCATTGAAATAAATTAAATAAGAAAACTTGTGTTCTTTAAGTGTTAAATCATCATTACATGGATTATGTATCATAAAAATTTTAAACTAACTATTTAAGAATTTAACGATCTAAGAATAATTGTCGCATTAATAAATAACTAAAATATAAGAATGCATATTGATAATAAATTTTATTTAAAGAAATTTTGCACATCGTGAAGCGATAATGGCTATACTAAAAGGACAAGATCTTGTTTGCAGCAAAAACATAGGAGGAGAATGGTGAAGTACGGTAAACTCGTAATGATTCATGAAGAGAATGCACCATTGCCACCGGCGCTACCACCTCAAGCCATACCTTGCCAGCAGTTATAGGAAAAACCTTATGCCGATCAATTTGTAGCTGAATACTGCTTTCAAATTCGAAGCATCCGTTTACAATGTCATACTTCGAATTTGATTCTAATACTTACGATACAATTGATCGCTGCGTACAATTCCAATGTCATTTAAATTGTTTTAATTTATTACATTTATATTTCATAGCAGATACAATTCTTCTGACATATTTCGCTACTCAGACGTATGTATGTATGTATTCGCTACATTTTATATCTTTATTCATTTAATTAAACGCGTTTCACTTGTCTTTTTTTATATTACGATTTATTAATTCAAAATATTCTTCTTCTTATTATTAATATTATTATTATCATTATAACTATTATTACATGTAAGAATTTAGACTTCGAAGCACTTGGGGATATTAATATTATCATTGATCGATAAATTAATTTTATTTCTAAATTATCGGTAAATTTGAACTGTCTCAAACACATTTTCATGTATTCAAACACAATGTCAATTCCATACATTTAAGTATAAAATATTAATCGCTAAGATATCAAAATCATATTGCTTATAAAGTTAGTGATTCGATAAGGCTTAAGTTCCTTTTTTCCTTCAAACGAAACTCACCGATATTTTATTATCTCTGCCGATGGTATTTTTACATACTCGTTACATCGGTGATAATTTTTAGGCATACTTGTGTCTCAAGGATAAAAAAACATTTTCGTGAAGCTACGAGGTCCCTGTTATCGGGCAGACATTGACGTCCACGTGATTCTTACTAATTGAGTTCTCCAACTCTATTCGGCCTTTGTTTTCGTATACAAGATAACTGATAAGTTCTCGTTGTTACGAAAATGTAAAATCCGTTGGAAAGTCTGTCGCCTGCACAACGTTTGATATAGATTTAATACTATTAAATATAGAGAGCGAGAAAAGAAGAAAGGGGGGAATTATATACACACATATATACATATATATGTATAATTTTATTAGTAAGAGAATTAAGGATTTAGGTCAATACTTTAATACTTTGCTACGTATAGTCTTTTGTTACTCAATGATTTCCATTTTCATAATCAATTCCTCATAATGAGACATTGTCGTTACATTAGTTTAGAAAGATTATTTTTCTAATATCGTATATTAATTATAAATTGTATTCGTGCATTTTCTTTTTAACAATTTCGGTCTATATTTGATTAACATTTAAAGTGCATCTATTTTTAAATTCAAGCTGTTACTTATAACGAATAGTGAAAATTTTGAATTCATAATGGGACCAAATAATGGGGTCGTTCTTTTTCAAACACACCGTGTCGGACACGCTACCTCAAAATGAACATGTATTTCTACTCGCTTAAAAGGAATAAAAGTATAATCCGAAAATAGAATTCGTTAAGTATAATCTGTAGTATAAATGGATGACTTCAATTGAGTACGTCTTAAAATTTTATAAAAATAAATCTATAATATTTTTCAACGAATGTAATCAATTTTTTTTTCTTTTTTTTTTTAATCTTGTAATAGTCCTAATCTTTCTAGATTTCTTGGATAGAATTATAGTAATAACTTTTATATTTGTTTATACTTGTAATCCTGTTAATAATTTTGATATCTGTTCCATGACGATAAAAATTCTCATTTAATATTAATACATTTGTATATTCTTCATATTACTCTAAGAAATATAATTTTATTGTTCATTGCATAGTACTGGACTGAAAAGATTATTTTTACGTGTTCTTTCGATATAGGGAGCAAACATTCTGAAATTTTCATCTCAACATTTGTATGATCGAAGAATATTTTATATACTATATATTTGTATACATAATATATGAACCATGATTGATATGCCTATTGTATTGTGTAATTGAGAGGTGGAAGAAATATTTTCTATACTAGTGAACTGCAACCTTTCGAATTAAACGATGTAGCTTGTTTGTTAAGAGGTCAGAACGCTGTTTTTGTAGATGTAAAAAGAGAAGAGAAAATGAAGCGTCATGCTTCCTTTATCTCGAAGATCGTAAATCTAGTCCAGATTGTATAAAGTAGTTGCAACAATTATCCCATAAAGTTTTCATATAAAGACCGACGATGTTACCTGGAATAAGAAACGAAAAACCTCGTTCATTCCTTTATTCAAAAAGCATTGTTAGTTTTTATATGGATATTTAACATCGACTATACCTCATACAAAGAAACAAAGGCATCGATACCCGGTATTCTTACTGAATAATCGCCCTTTAAAATATAATTCGATCAAACTGTGAAAAAATCATTGTCATCATCAAAAGAAAAACGGAAGACGTAAACTGCAAATTCCGAATAAACGAGCTTGAGTGATAGTGTCGATGCTTTTGGCTTCAAAATTCAGACAAATTTTTAAATATTCTTCGTTTCTTAAAGACGTTACATTAGCACAAAGTTTTATGACTTTTTCAAACAAGTGACTGTCGACAAAAGTGTGAGGAATAAATAAATACATGTACATTCGCATATATACATGTTTATTTATTTATTTCATTTAGAACGCGTTTACTTTCTGCATTTGTATTTAAGATGGCATTTTAACAATTACGGTGGGAAAGTACCACGATTGTGCGATAATAACAGCTGATTCTACGCGTATAAAAGGAGATAGGTGTATAAATAATTCTTCAATTTTTCCTATCAATATTCTATTCCCCCGTTTGTACATTTTCTTTCTCGTTTGGCAGATGTAGCTGTTTTTGTCGCACCTTTATTGATACGCCAAGCGTAAAAATCTTTAAGAAATAATGTAGATACAAGTAATAAGGTGTAATAAGATGTAATAAGATGTAATGAGGGGATAGCTTTAAAATTTCCATCTTCGTTGCATCATTTATCTTTTCCTTACAGTATTGTAATGATAATAGCAAGATTTAGAAAACTGTAATTATCGAACAACGGGAAAATTTAAGTATAAAATATTAATCGCTAAGATATCAAAATCATATTGCTTATAAAGTTAGTGATTCGATAAGGCTTAAGTTCCTTTTTTCCTTCAAACGAAACTCACCGATATTTTATTATCTCTGCCGATGGTATTTTTACATACTCGTTACATCGGTGATAATTTTTAGGCATACTTGTGTCTCAAGGATAAAAAAACATTTTCGTGAAGCTACGAGGTCCCTGTTATCGGGCAGACATTGACGTCCACGTGATTCTTACTAATTGAGTTCTCCAACTCTATTCGGCCTTTGTTTTCGTATACAAGATAACTGATAAGTTCTCGTTGTTACGAAAATGTAAAATCCGTTGGAAAGTCTGTCGCCTGCACAACGTTTGATATAGATTTAATACTATTAAATATAGAGAGCGAGAAAAGAAGAAAGGGGGGAATTATATACACACATATATACATATATATGTATAATTTTATTAGTAAGAGAATTAAGGATTTAGGTCAATACTTTAATACTTTGCTACGTATAGTCTTTTGTTACTCAATGATTTCCATTTTCATAATCAATTCCTCATAATGAGACATTGTCGTTACATTAGTTTAGAAAGATTATTTTTCTAATATCGTATATTAATTATAAATTGTATTCGTGCATTTTCTTTTTAACAATTTCGGTCTATATTTGATTAACATTTAAAGTGCATCTATTTTTAAATTCAAGCTGTTACTTATAACGAATAGTGAAAATTTTGAATTCATAATGGGACCAAATAATGGGGTCGTTCTTTTTCAAACACACCGTGTCGGACACGCTACCTCAAAATGAACATGTATTTCTACTCGCTTAAAAGGAATAAAAGTATAATCCGAAAATAGAATTCGTTAAGTATAATCTGTAGTATAAATGGATGACTTCAATTGAGTACGTCTTAAAATTTTATAAAAATAAATCTATAATATTTTTCAACGAATGTAATCAATTTTTTTTTCTTTTTTTTTTTAATCTTGTAATAGTCCTAATCTTTCTAGATTTCTTGGATAGAATTATAGTAATAACTTTTATATTTGTTTATACTTGTAATCCTGTTAATAATTTTGATATCTGTTCCATGACGATAAAAATTCTCATTTAATATTAATACATTTGTATATTCTTCATATTACTCTAAGAAATATAATTTTATTGTTCATTGCATAGTACTGGACTGAAAAGATTATTTTTACGTGTTCTTTCGATATAGGGAGCAAACATTCTGAAATTTTCATCTCAACATTTGTATGATCGAAGAATATTTTATATACTATATATTTGTATACATAATATATGAACCATGATTGATATGCCTATTGTATTGTGTAATTGAGAGGTGGAAGAAATATTTTCTATACTAGTGAACTGCAACCTTTCGAATTAAACGATGTAGCTTGTTTGTTAAGAGGTCAGAACGCTGTTTTTGTAGATGTAAAAAGAGAAGAGAAAATGAAGCGTCATGCTTCCTTTATCTCGAAGATCGTAAATCTAGTCCAGATTGTATAAAGTAGTTGCAACAATTATCCCATAAAGTTTTCATATAAAGACCGACGATGTTACCTGGAATAAGAAACGAAAAACCTCGTTCATTCCTTTATTCAAAAAGCATTGTTAGTTTTTATATGGATATTTAACATCGACTATACCTCATACAAAGAAACAAAGGCATCGATACCCGGTATTCTTACTGAATAATCGCCCTTTAAAATATAATTCGATCAAACTGTGAAAAAATCATTGTCATCATCAAAAGAAAAACGGAAGACGTAAACTGCAAATTCCGAATAAACGAGCTTGAGTGATAGTGTCGATGCTTTTGGCTTCAAAATTCAGACAAATTTTTAAATATTCTTCGTTTCTTAAAGACGTTACATTAGCACAAAGTTTTATGACTTTTTCAAACAAGTGACTGTCGACAAAAGTGTGAGGAATAAATAAATACATGTACATTCGCATATATACATGTTTATTTATTTATTTCATTTAGAACGCGTTTACTTTCTGCATTTGTATTTAAGATGGCATTTTAACAATTACGGTGGGAAAGTACCACGATTGTGCGATAATAACAGCTGATTCTACGCGTATAAAAGGAGATAGGTGTATAAATAATTCTTCAATTTTTCCTATCAATATTCTATTCCCCCGTTTGTACATTTTCTTTCTCGTTTGGCAGATGTAGCTGTTTTTGTCGCACCTTTATTGATACGCCAAGCGTAAAAATCTTTAAGAAATAATGTAGATACAAGTAATAAGGTGTAATAAGATGTAATAAGATGTAATGAGGGGATAGCTTTAAAATTTCCATCTTCGTTGCATCATTTATCTTTTCCTTACAGTATTGTAATGATAATAGCAAGATTTAGAAAACTGTAATTATCGAACAACGGGAAGCAGCGAATGTCTCGTTTAACGAGTATTTGCAGTTGCATCTGTTTGATATGGAGAGAAATAATCGGTGCTTTGTTGTTTCTACTACTTGTCGAGTAATTTATTCATGTAACAAATGTCTTTTACAACGGTGATGTTAAATACTTAAATCGCGACATTATCAGACGAACGCAATGCTGACGATGAAAAATTTCATATAAATTCGATGCGTTATCAATGAATATGCATTATGACACAAAAATGTTTGTATCGCATTACGTCTTGGGATTTACACAAACAAACAATGATCGTGCAGTTTGTGATCCTCCTCAAGTACAAAATATTAAAATATCGTGTCCGATTACTTTTTCTGTACAATTTTTTATATGTAAAAGCATACGATATGATAAATCTGTTGAGACATAAATTTTACAAGTAGTTTATAAATTAGTGTCTAAATCTCTGTATAATCTCATGCTCAATTTTAAATAAATGCAAACTGCACGAGTCATACACGAATGCGAAGGTTTCTACAGTCAATTAAAGTGATCTTAATTTATTATATAATATCTGGATTGTAAAAACATAATAATAGCAACAGCAATATATTGAACATTATAATGTGCAGTAATTTGAAGCAACCGTCATTGCATTCCTTTCAGACATGGGTATTATATTATATTATATCTCTGGAGGAGTATTCTTTTTTTTTCTTTTTTTTTCTTTTTTGTAATTGAATTTATCGAATTCGTTGTATATTAACGAAAAAAGCATGCCTCCTGGTTTTTATTTTGTGTGCGTGTATGTCCGAACGATTTAATGATAATTAAGGAAAGAAATCATGGTTTTAATATATAATTTTTATTTAATAAGTAAAATATATTTAATAATTTATTATTTCACGATCATTTCGATTCTTCGCGAGGAATAACATACTTGCAGGTATGATTTTCAAGTTTAATTATTTTCTTTTTTACATCCTGAGCGTTATATATTTTACAGCGAAGGTAAAAATTTTATTAAAAGTATTGCTAGTATAATAATAGAATACTAATGTATATATTATCTTTGTACATTTCTGTTAATGTTGAAATATACGTATGAAATACACTATATCTATGGTTAAGTGTAAAAAAAATGTATTGAAGATTTATTCATGCTTCATACTTAAACAACTTTTAGCACTTTCGTGTCACTACGAGTTATATGGATAAGTCCTTCTCTCTTGCCTCGGTGTTCCGACTCATCCAAACTCTAATTCGAGTCATTTTGTACTTTATTTTCTCCATTGATCTAACTTATTTTAGACTCAACCCTCTTAATTCGATATTTCAGCCTGTCAACCAAACACTTCATCTCGTACAGTTTGCTGACCCCTGATTCGACCAACATTGATCATGATCATCAAGTCAAGGTCATACTAATGTAATACGCTTTCAGCTGTATTCTCTTCCCCCATTCTACGTACTTCCAAACTGTGTATGTCCAAATTTCCAACCTAAAAAGAAACAGAGTACATATGATAGAAGTTTAGTCGAAAGAAGGCGTGTAAGAATTTTTAAGAGAAAGAGATATTTATCGAAAGAAAATGATCGCTAATCGCTGCTTGCCTCCTGTTGAGGCTCTTTGTTCGATGGTTTTATCAATCTTCTTATAAACGGGGCCAGTAACATTGGATCCAATTTTTCAATATTTTCGGACGAGATGAGGCTCACAACCAGGCCGATGGTCATCGTCACTAATGCACCAACCACGGTATACCAAAGATAACTAATACGGTATAACGCGAGAGGTTCCCTAAAAGTATTGATACAATTACCAAAAAGAAAATACAATTATTTCTATCTATGTTACACGTGTCTTTGAAATTTAATATTTACGGGAGAAAATCGTCATTATCCAAAATCGTGTCCGGAGGTTCGAGTAGCATTAGGTTCTCTACTTGAGGGAACGAATAATAGCATCCTTCCGTGCTGACAGGTTTCTCGTCAAATCTGATGAAACATGTTACATTAGACGATGTTATAGCAAGCATTACAAAGTGACGAATATTTTCAAATCATTCGTCTTCTATTCTCACTTTATTCTTCCATTAGCGATCGCTGCTTCTGCCGAAAGGCTAATCCATCCCATAAAACCCAAACCAGCGAGACCACCTATCAGAGCACCCTGTATTTTGTACAGGATCGTGAGATTTGTATTCACGTTGCTAATTCGTCGTTTTCATATCGAATTTGAACGTACCTTGGCATTTACCCAGGGCAACAGAACACCCATGCTGAAAATTCCAAGAGACGGCCCGCTAGTAATCGAGGACAAGTTCGTAGATAACTGAAACATAATTCGTTTCGAACAAAAGTCCCTTCGAATTAAATTCTCTTGCCTGTATTATACCTGTAATACGTGAGACCCTGTCTTTTCAACGACAAATACAAGTCCCACGCAGGTTACCCCGAGAGTAACTACCATGAGTTTTAATAGAATATCCACGGCTTTCGGAGAGAATGGCGTTTTCTTAAACGGTTTAATGAAGTCCTCCAATATCACAGCAGCCATGGAATTCAAACCAGTAGATAAAGAGCTAAAATATCGACATAATTGAAGTTTTACTGTCTGCGATTGATAAGATGGAAATGAAACGAAATTACCTCAATGTTGCACTAAATACTCCAGCAACGAAAAGACCCGGAAGACCCGGAAATTCGTGTAATATGTTCATCACGAGTAATGGTAGCAATTGATCCTTCGCGACAACCAACTGCATGAAAAGTATTTCGTTTTCATTAAATAACAGGCTGTTATTCGAAATAGATGGTAGAAAGTAAAAATTCTATGAAAAATAGCACGATATCCGCAGGATGTAAAGGATGAAATGTCAGATGTACTTCAAGTGATACACATTGAATATGAAATCTTTCTATTACTACCAGTACACGATATATCGTGGAATTAGGCTATCAGGGAAGTCTAATGATTACCTTTGTCGTAAGTGGATCGCATACGTGGTACCAAGCATATATTAACATTCCCGCGTATCCGCACATTCCTATTAAAATCAAAACTCCGACGATAAAAATCCAGAGCGCTCTGAAATGTGCCATTTTGTGTCTCAGATTATTTCGTTGTTTATTTCGAATTGGGTATTTCGCGCGTGAACGAAAGCTTAATGTAACCAATATACCTTTTAGCTGATTTTAACGTGGGTAGCGCAAGATACCTCTGTATCATGTTTTGATTCAGAACGGCTACTTGCAGCCAAAAAAAGAAGCCACCAATAACGAGAGACCAGACCGTATGCCTCGTAAGAGGACTCCAATCTGTCCTATTCAAACATTCGTGTAACTTAACGATTATTACGTTTGTAACATGTTAATTATTGTTTTAGTTTGACTTAATATAAATTATATTTCTCACGTGGGTAATTCAAGTCTGCCAGACTCCAAATTTCTCCGTATTACCAACGGCAATCCGCCTACGTCGGATGTTCCCTTAACAACGACTAGTATCATGGAACCAAACATTACGAAAGTTTGAATGAAATCGGTCCATACCACTGCTCGTAAACCACCCTAATTAATAGAACGTGAATTATTTTATAATTTCCTCTTGCGGACGATAATTCTCGTGTTTACAAATTGTATCTTACCACGCAAGTGTAAAAAATGCACACGATACAGACAAACGGAGTAACTATGTGTACGTTCACCCCCGTGACTGTAAATTATAAGGTGCGTTATTGATATGTTAGTCGAGTGTTGTTAGTTTTATCAAAAACGATTCAACGTGCATTCAGTACCTTGATTAAAGGCCAACGCTGGCACGTAAATAACAATAGGAAGCCATGTCATCTAGAAGGATAATGCGATTTTCTTATGGAAACTTCAATTTTGTTATCGCAGCGAATTAAATAAAATTGAACATTCTTTAAACAACTCACGATGCTGATCAAGAAAAGCACCGATCCTAATGTCCTGATCTTCTTGTCGAAACGTTTCTCGAGATATTCGTAGGTGCTTGTCAGTCTAAGCTTGTGAAAAATCGGTAAATAGATTACCGATGTTACAAAACCAACAAAGATGACTCCGATAGAGATACAGAGGTAACTAACACCGTGTACGTAAACTTCCGTCGGTATACCCAGCAATGAAATACCTATTATTACGTTATTATTGTTATTGTATAATTATTAATATAATTTGTAAATTTGCGTGTAAAAAGTGTAAATTTATACATCGCGATTGCAGATTAGAATTTTCATAGAAACCGAAAATAGCTTGTGCATAAATTGGCATTCATTTTTATTACCACGATTTTAATGAGAAAATTATCGTTACGAGTAAAGTGACTATTTGGAATTATAAGTGAAATCCTACCCGACACAAAACTGGCTACGAGGCTCAAACTGACGGGGAGTATCTTCATGTTTCTACCACCCATGAGGTACTCGTCTGTTCCTGATGACTTTTTAATAAATCCGAAGTAAATGCCAACGCAACCGCAAGCAACCAGCATGAATACGAAAACCATGTAATCCCATATGCCGAAACTTCGCATCATTAGATTGACTTCCTGCACCGTCGGCATATCCTGCGACCAATTTGGTTGACTATCCTGCATACTACTCTCTGCGGTCATTTTGTTGCAAAATGGAATTTTGTGATCGTTGTAACGCCTTTGGAAGGCGTTTCCAATTGCAAAGCAAATCCTTTCGGGGATCAATAAACGATATTTTATTTCAGAACATAAAGATACCAGTGCTGAGAGAAGGAAAGTACATTGGACTATTCTTAGGTAATCGAAAATAAATTGGCGATATTTTACTATAGTTTGTAAATCGTTATATATCAAATGGAAAAGAGAATGTAAAGTAAGAGAATCCTCGTGTTCAAATATTTTCAATAGAATAATTAAAAGTATCGCTTACCTTAATTTTTGTACTTGGTAATTTTTCAGTCCATTAAAACTAGTTTATTGGAAAAAACCGGATACCTGTGAACTTAAGCTATTTCGAGCTCGGTACATTGGCGAACTGTGATTTAAAATTCATTTAAGAATAAGCGACCAAATGTAAATAATGCTTTACACACGCGATGTAACACTCAAGGAAAGGTATAATTCTATTCACATTGAATTGAATGATAAATTATTTCAAATATATGACACGATAGTTGATGTAATATATGGTGTGGAAGATTCTAATGGGTATCACGGAAGACCGGCCACAACTAGCGTGACAGTTCATCTGAAAAGAGCCAGAAGCTCGAAACGGCTCGATACGATTGCACACATCACGATTGTGCCATTGTGACAATTTTCTCATTAAACCGACAATGGACATTAAGTACGAAGTTAAAACGACCGGGTATATAGCAGAGTGAATCGTAAGTGGATAATACGACCTAAATATGGTAGTAGTTGTATAGATGTGTTTGATCACATTGACGGTCGCGTTTCAACCAAGTTCCTGAATGATTTTCGGGTATCAAAGAATTATTTACTAATAGCTATTCAGAGGTACTATAAGTGTTAACGTAAAACTTTTTGTCAATTTATTTATAACATATACTCACAGAAGATATCGCTTTGGAGACGATAAAAAAATAAAGGACAATTGTTTTTATTTTACTTTAATTAAGAAACAAGACGTAATCGATACAAGATTTTTAGAAATACAATAAAATTGGAATAAGCAACTCGTCACATTTTTCCAACCTTTATCCTTCATAGAAACGCGGTAAATCATTACCGAGTATAACTTTTCTTTCAATCCCGTCTTTCGTAATGACACCCATTCGGATAACACCACCGCTACTACCATCACGAGACATTGCCAGTGCCAATGCTGCAAATACAAGGAAGTGTTATTTGCATTAAATTATTACATAATCATATTATGCTAGTCAAAGTTTATTAAGTACTTACTGTTTTCAACAAGTTTGATGCATTCGTCCTTTGACATGTTTGGTTTATACTGTGAATCCATGTAACCATACACATAGGTTGAGCCAGATCCTCCAATAGAAATTGGTTGTCGAACACACATACCTCCTAGAGGAACACTATAAACTTGGCCTCCTTTATGACTATCCCATCCTGCCACTAAGATTCCTGCCATTAAGGAATTTCTATAGTTGTAGCATAATGAACGAAATACATTTGCTGCTGTTTCTACTAATGGTTCCATTCCCAACTCCATTCTATAGAAATAAAATATAAACAAGAGAATTATATTCTTTATAATTCAGATTTGTTTTTTATGATAATAGTAAACAAATGTACATTTCAATGTGGTGATTTACAATTAATTTATGTACATAAGTATACAATCTTGCTCACTTGTGAAGACTCAAATGATATGCAACTATATTTGCAATAGCTTGGGTATCTGCTGCAGAACCAGAACGACAGCAATAAATATAATCTGTCATCTTAGTCAACTTGTCGGTAAAACGATTGGAGATATAACTCCTGAAAATGTTAATTATACAATTAATTGTGTGATTATTACTATGTTTCTAGAAAATTATATCAATTGACAGTATCATACCCTGTGGTTGTTCTAGAATCTGCTCCAATTACTACACCTCCTTCAAATTCACAAGCCATGATAGATGTCTAATTAACAAAATAATTTTAAAAGATTAATATATTTATTTATAAAATTTTACAAATTGTTTTGTAATGAAATATATGAACAGGTGAATGTATAAGTAATTCAAAATATAAAATTTGTATTAGACGATAGAATTATTAAAATTACAAATATGTGTTGTTAATACATGATTATAAAGATATGCATGTATAGCAAAGTAAATGAAATTTATTTTGAATTTTCATTAAAGATGCTTTCAGTTTGCTTTGTCATTCTAACCTTAAAACATATTAATGTCACAATTTATCGAAACTTACTCCTGTACTTTGTTCTGAAGAAACCCAATCTGGAGCTAAATTATCGGTAACTGAACTTATATTAGGATGAACTAAATTCGCGAATATATTTGCCATTTTTTCAGAATTTTAATAAAAGCTCTCTTCTCTAACTCTTCAATGTTCAAAGTTACTTTGTGACTACAGTGTGTCCATCTATATAGATTAAAAAATGATGTTTACTCTTAAACATAATTACTAAATATAAATAATTTTATAATACTAAAAGGAAAACAATTATTAAAATTAATTTTTATTTAAAAAAATAAATTTCCTTATTATTTTCTATTTTTCAAATAATTTTATATAACTTTTCCAATTTTTATGTCATGTACTAAATTTTTTAACAATGATTAAACAAACTTTTTATTTAAATACTATTACATTTATTTACTTACTTTTAATAATAATGTAACATATATAAATATAATATAATTAATGCAATATAACAGACTTTAATTTTGTTAAACTAATTATATAAAGGGACATAAAATATAAAACATTGTTGTTTCAGAATTCAATTTTCTGAACACTGATTAGTATAGACCATTCAAGCATATTATATAGAGAATTTAGCTTGAATCTTCGTATAAAATAGAAAATATATTACGATTTCAAAAATAAAACAATTAACATTTTGTAAGAAGTTTATACTTGCTATGAAATATTATTTGAGAAATAAAATAATACGAAAATTACGCTTTCTAAAACTTAACGGAAAATTAAAAAAAGAAAGTACATTCTCTCGTTCATTTCGTGTCTATCGTGACTCTTGCAACTTTCTCAGGTACCTACAATTTTCCCGAAGAGTGCGGTACATTAAGTGCAACGTTCTCATGTAACACTTGATTCGTGTTACACTTGATTTATCAGTAGTGCATTTACAGTGCTTCGAGCTTCGGGTTAACAGTAAGAATGACATATACTACGCAAAAGACTTATAGTAACAATCGGACAAAAAGTGTTGATTGTGATCGTGGGTAGCAACCGGTAAAGAAATGGCAATTTCTAGTTGGATGATCTGGGGTAGGAGTCTTCGTACAAGCAGACCTCATCGAAGTATGTTGAACATTGGCTGTCATTTTTTTTATTTTAAAACTATCTTGTTTCCTATTTATGTACTCTTTTTATAGGCCGTCAAGAGAGTGAAGACAACTGCGTGCAACTCGATCTGTCAAGAGGTTAGTAACCTAACCTGTAACCTGCAACTTTGTACCCGTAGTGCTTTAATAACATGACTACCTCGCATCGGTCTACGATTATATATGCATGTTTATCTTTAATTTGCATCTTGCAAAGTGACAGGTGTCTCTTCTGTGAAGTACTAAAAGCAACTTTCAAAGTAAAGTAAAAGATCTTTAATGAAAAATATAGAATTATATTTAATATCAATATTTATAAGTTTTTAAATATAATCACAATATATGAATTTTTAATTATATTTCTATTGTAGATAATATTGAAATATTATTTGTATTTCTGATTAAAAATTTAATTTAATTTATAGGATTGAAAGAAAATGTGAAAGAAGTTTTGACCAATCTTTGTCAACGTGAAAATGTTCCAAGTATAAAAAAATTAGCTTATCTTAATGCCATTGTTAAATTAATTAGTGAAAATGATTCTCCAGACTATGGATATTCCATCAGTGATGTATTTTGCTGGTAAGAAATTAAGAATTATTGATTACAAGCAATGAACAAATACATTATATTATTATATAATACAATATATATTGGTTATAATGTGCATTCATTTCATAGTTTGCGAGTGGGACTTGTGCATGAGGCAACACAAGTTCGTGCAGCTGCATTGCGAGCTATACGATACATGCTCAAAAAGGAACAGGATGTTATTGCAATTAATAAATTACAATATCCATATTTTGTGGCTCGAAGTATGGATATTAATTTACGGAATGAAATGGAGAGAATGCAAGCTCTTAGACTTGTTAGAAGGATTTTAGTATTAGCACCAAAACATTTTAGTCCTATTTTAGCAAGATCTTTAATAAGTTTAACAAATGGAGGAGTTGAAGAAAAAGATGGAGCATTTCGAGCATTTCTAGCAACTCTTTGTGAATTGGGTGTTTTAAATTCGAACTTATTAATCAGTTGTGGAGGAATTAGTGCCCTTGCAAGAGCTGCCATGACTGGACAAAGCCCTGCTATAATTGAATCTGTTATAGGAGTTTTACTAAAATTATTAAATACTCCTGATACTAGAAGTAGTGTTTCTCTTTTGTGTTTTGCAGCTCCCTATTGTGAGCTTCATTTTGCAAATATAGATAGAACAAAAGAGGAAAGAGAAAGATTTGCAGCAAGTAAATTAGCATTATTAAGTATATTAAGATCTTATTCTGGAGTTTTACATTTTTGTCGACCTGATGATAATTCAGGATTAAAAGCTATAGCAGATGTATTATATGTTGAACAACTTGAAGTAAGAGGTGCTGTTTTAGAATTACTTTATGAATTGTTGGATTTACCTTTGCCTACTTGGACAGATGAACCTGATGTTGCTTTGGCAGCAATAGATCCCAGTAAAGCTCGTAATTCTTGGAAATTGTCAGAAGGCTTTGTTGCAGCTGAAGGAAAGTATATTTTACCATCCTTATCATCACGCTGTCCAAATATCACAGAAATACATTTAGCATTATTGGTATATGCTTTATTGGAGTGTGGTCTACATCGTGCTCTAGCAGAGACTATTGTTTCCACTGATACTTTTATTTCTGTACGTGCTGCTGTTCTGCTAGGTGCATTACTACATCTTGCACATTCTCTTTTGCCTTCTGAAGTGTGCGATCTTACTCCTCCCTTACCAAATTTATTAGAACATGCAAGTGCTGGAAAGCATCAAGCTTTAGCAGCTGTTGCAATTTTGGAGCGAATGCATCTTATGATGCGACGAAGGCCGGCACCTGCAAGTCTATTTCTCGATAAAATTTTACAAGCTGGTACTTGGCTAAGGCCAACGTTACCAAGGCGTCAACGAACATCCAGTAGACACTGGTTACGTCGAGAATCACCGACTACGCCTCTTTTGAAAGATGCTCAAGTACTCAGCTCTAAAGATGCTCTTGCCTGGAATTGGCCGGTGGTACGGTCTATATTGCGTTCACGAGATGATATTGCACGAATACTCCATGATTCTGATCACAGATTATTTATGAAAAGACTCGTACGTTATTTTAAACCATGTTCCAATGGCTACAGTAGGGTGGAGTTAGCAACAAATGCTAATTTAGCACGAGAAGCAACATTAGCTGGTTGTGACTTGTTGAATTGTTTGTTGGAGATTCCTGAACCTGAGAGTACAAAATTATTATTTGAATTAATTGGAGATGTTGATGAGCAAATCTCTAGTATCCGAACAGCTCAATCTGCTCATGAATGTTTATTTTCACCTCGTCATATGTCAACTACTTGTTGTCAAAAGTATTTCCTATTTATTGGCCAGTTGAGCCATTCAGCAAAAGGAACTCGGATTTTAAAAGAATTCCAATTACTAGGAAAGCTACAAGACTTGGTTTTAGCTACTAATCACGACTGTTATGTTAAACTTATAATATCAAGTTTAGACTATTCTAGGGATGGACCTAATAGGAAGGTATTGACTAAGATTATTACAGAAGCAACATTAGACAGTACACGTCTATATGCTACACAGTTCCTCCGATTGATACTCAGAGCCAGAATGGCTGATGCCTATCGTTGGGCAATAACATTATTGTCAGAACGGCTGTCAGATTTCAATAAAACAGTAGCACTTACTGCATTAGAAACATTACATGAAGCTTGTGAAGAACCAGAATATTTAGAAGCTTTATTGCAACAAGGAGGACAATCTCGGGATTGGGATAAATGGTTAGAAGAATTAGGTGATAAAGGTTACTTACTGAAAATTCGTCTATATTCTCTCCATCAGGGTTTTACGACGCTTTCGTCTCCCGCTGAAGAATTGGAGAAATGGATCAGTCCGGGAGGTTTTGCAGAAAGATATGTTGGTTTAATAGAAGGAGAAATACATGATTCTTTAACTCGTCGTCAGAGAAACGAAACAGGAAGTTATCATAGAAGAACAAGTAACGTTCCCATGACACCACATAATATTTTTATTCTACCACATTTAGTAGGCCAATTGGTGCAACATGATCTAGGTTTGCAGTTGTTATTACGTCGAAATGTAATACAACGTTTTACTCGAATTCTTCAACGATTTAGACTGGAATTTGGTAATAGAGATTCAGAATCAAACTCAAGATGTACTAAAACTAATCGTTCTGTGATCGATGATGCTTGTGCTATGTCCGAAGAATCTGGTACAGATGAGACAGTAGAATCAAATAGATTAGAGACAATAATGGATTCTGAAACTGTGGAAGGTGTGGATATATGCCCGCAAAAAGTTGACTCTCTAATTGATGTTCGGCGAAAAACAAGTCTGGACGATTCCAGACGAACTACTCCTGAAAGAAGTTGGAGATTGGAGCCTGAATCTCGAGACGATCAAGTTGCGAATTTAAATAAGAGAATTTTAAAAGTAAAGTCTGCGTTATGGGTGCTTGGTCATATGGGGACCTCAGCAGCAGGGGTAGAACAGTTGAATCATGCAGGAATTATAGAGCTGTTAACTTCTATAGCAGAAACGTGTTCATATTACGCAGTACGAGCAACAGCTATGTACGCTCTTAGCCTCATTGCTACCACTCGTGCAGGTGCAGATGCACTGTCAAATTTTGATTGGCCATGTGTTAGACACAGACGTGGAGATCACTGGCCAGTTGTTCCTCCTACGAACAGATATCCAGCGCCGAGTCCAATTCCTATACAACGACATCATCGGAGTCTCAGCGATGGCAAACCAGAGTTGCCTGAACCAGTAGCTCGAAGAACTAGAAATCGATCTGAAAGTGCAGCTACAGATCTCGAAGCTAGACGTTATGCTTTGCCGTAAGAATGATGTTTTAAATAATTTTTATATTAAGTAAAAATATTCTCTATTATTGTACGTCTTCATAGAGAAAGAGGGGAAACACCAAGTCCTGTTTCCAGTATTCAAAGATTAAGCCAACAAGATGCTGAGGGGTATGCAAGACTTCGTAGTTTACAACGTCATCGGAGACCGAGTTACTCTCAAAGTAGCTTAGAGGCAAGCGTATTTAAAACTTGATCTTCCATTTCATGGGATACTCGATTAAACAAATTTATTTTATTCCAGATGTATAGTTTAGACGGTCGACTTTCGTTGCAAAGCTTATCTGAATTCGATTCATCTCGCAACTGGATTGCGGAACAAGTACTCACTCCGACACCCCCACCCCCTGAAGATAATCATGATAATTTATTTTACATGGGTATTGCCCTTCCAAAGAAACTTACAACTATTTTTCCGGAAGCACCACAATCGTCAATACCGACCATAACACTGGATGATGCACCTAAGTCCGATGTAGAAACAACCGAAGTAGATGAGGAATCTTGTTCAGAATGTGATGTAGATGCAGAACATTATCGCATATGTTTAGTATGTTATCACGGTAAAAGTAGCAGCAAAGATTCGCTTCCAGAAAAAGACTTAAAGTTACAGAGGTAATATTAATCAATTATACAGTTACATAAAACGGTTCATTATATAAGGCGATAATGTGTATTTCTTTAGTAAATTATACTTACATTATTTTTAATATCCGCATTTTCTGAATAGGAAAATACTTAGGCATACACAGCGATTGGCAAATCCTGTATGGTATCGTAATAGTCGACAAATTTTACTTAGATTAAGGCAATTACACTCAGAGAGGTTTCAGGTATATATTTAAATATTGTTTTAAAAGTAAGAAATAATCATTTATATATAACTGTTTCTGTTTTATGTCCTAGGATATTTGTTTATTTTCGGATGTAGCTGCTCGTTTAGGTAGTAATACATATAGAATGCCAGCACGACGATTTTTACAAGAATTATTTCTAGATTCTACATTTGAAGCAGTAAGTTGTTACAAAACATTTTTAATTGCTATGTATGAAAAAATAAAAAAATGCCTAATTTTAATATTTTATTGCAGCTTTATGTAGAAGCAGCTAATATTCTAAAATTAAACGATAGTAATGATGAGAAATCCCGATTTCCCATTTCTACGGCACATGAACCCGATTCTCGCGTGCCTTCAGAAAGTAAGATCAATGGAAGACTTACTTTTTCTGAGATTCAAGTAGCACAATTGGATGCCGTCGCCGAGGAGGCGGGAGGTGATTCCTGTGTGACGCAACATTGCAATAAACCGCAAGATCTTTTGCGCAAACCAGAACGACGAAGCGATGAGAAGATAATAGCCGAAATTTTAAAGCCAGAAGAAAGAATACGTTTGTCAAAGAGTTCTGATAGATTATTAAAAGTATCAGGTACAAACACTGCCATCAGCCTTGATTAGTAATCACCGACTTTCAGACAGTTGTAAATATTTTGTATTAAAATAATTATGAAGTATGAAATAAATTACACTGCCAAAATCGAAACATAGTTTAATGCAACAATATCCCTGTGTTATTAAAATGTAACAATAAAAAATTAAATCAATCCTCTTTGAGTAATTCGCGGTCAGCTATTTAATTTTGCGTGTATGGATACTAGTTTTCTATTTTCGCTGATAGATGGCGATGAATGTTTTTATTATGAAGTAATATTTGCACCTCGATTTTAAAAAATTTTTAATATAATTATTGTAAGTAGCATATGTTTCTTGATATTAATAAATTGTTTATTTTTATTTATTTCTTTTGTATGTTAGTTATATAACTATTATTACTTGTCATGTTGTCAAAGTGCTGTGTATGTGCGATGTATGTAATGACCTGAACAGCATCATAAGTTACCAAATTTTTATTCATTTATAACCATATTGTTACGTGGTATCATTGTACAGTTTTATATTGTATTGTTTTTAATTGAAATAATTTTAAATTTTATCAAATTTGATAAAATAATCAAACAATAAAGAAAAGTTAAGTTTTAAAATTTAAATTTTTACATAGATTTCATGAAACATGTCTGAAGGAGCAAAAATTATACTTGTAACTGGTGGAACAGGACTAGTTGGTAGAGCTATCCAAAATATTATTGAAACGAATAAAAATGAAAATGAGAAATGGATATTTGTGGGATCTAAAGATGCAGATCTATGGTAACTTGATTATTTATATTAGTAAATTTAGTCATTTGTAATTCAGATAGGCTAAAAGTAAAATGTTCTATTTTCAGTAACAAACAAAGTACAGAGAAATTGTTTGAAACACATAAGCCCACGCATGTTATTCACTTAGCTGCTATGGTTGGTGGTTTATTCCACAATATGACACACAATTTGGACTTTTTGGTAAATATATATAATCTTTAATAACTATTATTTTATTGTTATTAAATTGATTAAAATGTGTGTCATAAATTTTTAGCGCAGGAATATTCATATGAATGATAATGTATTACAAACTGCCCATGAAAATGGTGTTGTTAAAGTCATATCATGTTTGTCAACTTGTATATTTCCAGACAAAACAACATATCCTATTAATGAATTCATGGTAATTATTTTTTATATTAATAACTCAAAAACTTCACTTAATTTTGACATTCCTTTCTTTAATCTCTATTCTTTTAGATTCATAATGGCCCACCTCACCCATCTAATTATGGTTATAGTTATGCCAAACGTCTTATAGATATCCAAAATAGAGGTTATTATGACCAATATGGTAGAGTTTATACTAGCATTATTCCATGTAATGTGTTTGGTCCTAATGATAATTTTAATCCCAGTGCCAGTCATGTTATACCAGGTTTAATGCGCAGACTCTATGATTTAATAAAGGATGGTATGTAAAATTTTTAATAAAACTTTTATAAATTAATTATTTTAAATAATATTATTGATATATGTTGGTACATGTTTTAGGAAATACAGAAGATAAAGTATTTACCATATTAGGTTCTGGAAAGCCACTAAGACAATTTATTTATAGTTTAGATTTAGCCAAGTTAATAATATGGGTATTGAGAGAATATAATTCTGTGGAACCAATTATATTATCAGGTAATCAAGAGTACACAATAAGATATTAATATATATTATTTCAAATTATGATTAAATTATTTATTCTTAAATTAGTCGATGAATCTCAAGAAGTTACAATTTCTCAAGTAGCTGAGGCAATAGCACAAGCTTTTAATTTTAAAGGGAAGTTGATATATGATCTATCTGCAGCTGATGGACAATATAAGAAAACGGCAAGTAATGCAAAACTACGAAAATATTTACCAGACTTTCAATTCACGCCATTTAATCAAGCTGTTAAAGATACCGTTGACTGGTACATACAGAATTATGATCAAGCAAGGAACTAATGATCGTTAAATAATTAAATATTCCATTTGCAGTAATTTAGCTTTGTACAAAATATAAAGCAATAAGAAAACTATTATTTTAGGCTTATATTGTACAATATAATGTAATATAATTACCCTATTATGCGACAAAATTATGTATGTACATATATGCCTGAATTTATTTAGTAATACTTTTACATTTTAAAGTTAGAAGAAAATAATTCTTGGGTTACAAGTTGCATTTTTATTTGTTTATATAATTGTACTAAGTATAGGTTTCCTAACTTTTTATTAATTTCGCCGATATTTCCAGCAGAATATGCAAAAGGTTAAATACAGATATTACACCATTTTCATTGTAAATTTTGTATATTTTTAGAATAAATATATTCTCGATATCAAATATTGTATCGAAAATTCCCAAATCTTTGGTTTTCCCCAAGAAGAATTAACGACCTTCTGATATAACTGGATTTATATCTCTTACATAAAAAAGATAGCCGAAGTAGATTAATTATTTGATAAATAGCTCAACCAGATATATCATTCCATTGAGCTACAAACGATAATCATCAGTTGCCGCAAAATAGACCTGCGTTTACGGTCGGTACGTCTTATGTTTTATTATAATCGGTCAAGTTACATACCGATCATATAATAAATTATATATATGTTGTATTTTCATAGAACATCGCTATAGAAAGGGATTGAATCACATTTCGAATTTCACGCTATTAAATTCATCGGACCTAATTAACAGGAACTACGGAGAAAAATAAATGTATGCATAAACAAATCCATCTGCAACTAGAGCAGCTATAACTCAGTTTATACTTGCCACGAAAGAATAAAAATATAGAAGCAAAGATATCGATTAATCGAAAGCAACAAAGTTCACGAATTAAACGACAAAAATTATTCTCGTTATTTCAAAGGACATAGAAAATGGAAGGTACAAAATGACGGGTTACACTGTCGACGACTGTCGTGCAAGTGAGGTGGAGCGAGCAGTGGACGCGACGCAGCGTTTGTCGCACAGGAGGCGTCGCGACGCACGCGCGTTCGTTAACATAAATTGAGCACCCTCAGAAACGTGGAAGGTGCACGATGACTTAAATTCGGTGCTCAGTCGCGTTCGAGGTGGCTCACCTCGATGGTCGCGGAAGTATGTGCTCTAGCCGCGATACCATTGCATCCACGATGTGATGCATTTTCGGCACGTGGTGCAGTTCCGGGCTCAGCGTATAATAATCATCGCGAATAAAATGCGTCTGTTCGGGTTGTTGTGTTACTTGAAGGATCATCCATGGGAAGAACTAACGACAGTCATGCAGAGACACGCGTTGCGGCATCGTAGACGGTAACGCCGGCCGATTGGCCTTGCCGGGGGTAAAGTCTGCTTCTTCGTGCTTTTCATCCCTGCAAACGGTATCAGACGAGCGATCTGTATGATTTACCCTCGAATTTTGATGTTCTCAGTGAAACGAAAAAAAAGGACACTGCTCGGCGGAACGTATAACGATAAGAGGTCTCGTGGTAGTCTGGATTGTGATACAAAAATTGTGATCGAGGTAAACTATCGTGATACGTGTGAATCGGTTTGCTGGTTTTCTCGAGGATCGGAAAGTAACGCGAATGAACATCGCTGTAAGCCCGAATGGTAAGAGGAAAGTAGAGAGAATTTTTATTTGGAAGCGAAGTAAATTTTCGTCTGTATTTCAAGAAAAGTAATCAAGTCGGGAGAGTATTCAGAGTTGCAGGGTTCAAAGTGGAAGTAGTATGTACAGCTATTTCGAGAGCCGTTGATAACTCGATTAGCATCGATCTCGCGTGCAGATGAAGATATCATTTAGAGATTAGGAATAATTCCAGAGAACGAGTTTGCACGACTGATTTACGAATTTTTCGAATTTTCTCAGCGCGTTAGATTTCGATTAAAATACCATCGAAAGAATAATTAAGCACAGCCCCACGTTCTCCCCTGCGAAAATTTACTTTCGAAATAGCAACGATCGGTACAAGCGAAGCGTTGCATCATTCTTTTTGGAATTCTATTCTGGACGAACAATGAGGTCTTTCTCCGAGGTCTTATGGTACCTTTAGTAGATTTCGTTCGTGCTAACTAAACGAGCACGAATGCGGTGAAAAGATTTCGTCCCTTAGTTAAATCAAATTCTCAAGCTGCCGGGCTGCGGGATGGAAAGGATAATTTCACTGCTTAAAAGTTCCATCGTCTCATCGGGGCATCCTTAGGGGTTTCAGCTATCTTACAAAGCGCGAATCACTTTTTGCCCGTGACTTATGTACGCGATGGGAATAACTCGAATTTCCTCTGTTCGCGCGATTCGAGGATTCGATTTTATAAACGATGCATAAATTTCCGTGGAAAAATCCGTTCTAATGTCAAGGATGATATAATATGTAGGAGTCTTTATTATCTCGTTTCCTTCCAGCCCACGGAACTGTGTTCTCTTTTTGTCCTCCATTGTTACACGACGAAATGCATTCACGAAACAATATCTTTCAAACGAACCTCCATTATCTACAGCGGCAATAGCGATAGCGACAGTTAAAAGAAAAAACAAGGAAGAAAAGGAAATTCGATTAAATTTACTCGTTTGCCTGACCAGCGCAGCAGAACTCCAAGTAACGAAGCATCTCGCGTAATTGCCCGAAAAACATCAAGAAGATCAGTGCATGTTTCGCTATTGACATTTACCTCCGTTGGAAAATATCACCGTGGATGTTGTTGGTGCACGAACGCGTTCATTATCGGTTTAATAACCACACTCGTTCTGTCGATCGAAGACCAGATCTTCTTCAAGACGATTTTCCGTCGCGACGCCGGGAAATATAATTCCCGAGCCGATGCAGTGTGTCCGCGACGTGAATCAGTTTCTATATCGTCGAGAGAACACGATGCGCCATCGCGGTGTAGCGAACAAGGGCTCGTTGGTTCGAAGAGAAGAGCGATCGAGAGGTTTCCGATAAAGTCTGCTCGCGAGAAGGATGGAGAGGACCCGCGGTCTGCCAGAACAGAGTCACGGAAATGCGCGTCGTGGAACGCGACGACGACCTCGAGGAGGTAACCGGCGTTCGTGTCGAGTCTCAAAGAGATCCCGGAGCAAGGTCCAAGTTCGCGTGGTCCGGTGATTCGAGGACCAAAGCCTCGAATGGTGATTGGGGTCCTCGTTGATCGCGTGCGAGATCGTGGAGCGATGGATGGAAGATAGAAACGACGAAACGATCGCGAAGAAGAGATGCCTGGTATCGTGGTATTCCGACGCCGATGGAGCGTCGGCAGTGACGACCTCGTCGTGCCCGGAGCTTTCCTGTTCATCCTGCATCTGATATGGTGAGTGAACATTCCGATATTAATAACGGACCCCGATCAATCACTTTGTCCCGCTATAACCGGCGTTATTTTCAGCAGTCGCAAGAATTTTCAACGACGATAGGACATCCTTTCAGCGCGAAAGATATCCTAGTATTTATAGGGACTCCTTAAAATAGGATATGTCCGAGGATGATTTCGCGTGACCTACATTTTAGTCGAGCTATATAGCATCCGCCTGTACGTGTTTCGATTAGTTTGATAGAGAAATTCTCAGAACACGTGATTTCCGCCGTTTAATTGCCATCGTAATTCGATAATTGATTCGTATTTCTCGTGTATAACCGGTTGGATGCAGTGGAACAGCGCAATCTTGGTACACGCGTGCAAAATTGCACTATTAATTATTTACTATGCAGTTAAACGCGATTAGTCCTAGGGCCTGCGAGAGGAGACGAGAGAGGAGACAGAGAGACAGAGAGGAATTTCAATTCTGCCCTCGAGTTCCTCAGCCGTTGTAGGCCAACTTCCAGGTTTTAGTCCGATTTACGATGTCTCATGCGTGATACGTGAAAATTAGGAGACAATGGAAAACTAAGGAAACTCGTTTGTTGCTATTCATACACGCTTCGCAATTGTGCGCTGCTACTCGTTTCGTTTAACTTAATTAGCAATTAAACGCAGCAACAAAGCCGCGGTTCGTTTAATTACGAGAAATTTTTCTACTAGTCGAGTTGCAACTATACACGGTCTGTATAACGATTCATTTTGATCCTTAAACGATCCCTGAACCGCGAATACCTTGTTTGTCGCATTAATTCCTGGTCACCGTTCCAAGATTAGAAACGTTACAACAAAAACCAGCTGCAAAGTTTAGAGACAAAATATCGAGCCTACTTACAACCAAGTAAACCGACCAAATTCCATCGCAGACGTACTTTTTAACCCTTTGCACTCGGTGATTATTTTCGTTACAGAGAAATAGCAGTTCAAAGACTTTCCGCCGTAACATCGAGGATATTTTTGAAACGGTAAATAAGGAATCGGGTATAAATTAAGACTTAAAATTATTTTATTTCGACATTCCACGCAATCTTAGGTTATTTTAGATTTGATATGTTAATTAACATGGATCTTCGGAATTTGATTAAACGGTGAGTTGGACTCACCTCTCGAGTGCAAAGGGTTAATATTCCAAATCTGAAATTCACCTTGATAATTATTAACATTCCTTTGTCAACGTTTCTAAGCGTATTCGCGGTTCTTTTCTTCGTTTCTCCGACATTTCTCCGGCGAGAAGTTCGTTCTCAATGTTTTCTCGTGCAAAAATTTTGCGGAAAACAGTGTTCGAGCAAATGGGTCAATGTATACGCTCATTTAAATAATACCGCAGTACCTCCTGATCGCAGTCGTTAATTTCGGATTCGAGTAAAAATTCGATTCACCCTCCGGTAAAAAAATCACACGCGCAGAAATCTGCCACGTTTTCAGGGGAACATCACGATCTGTTGTGTGTTTGGTGGAAATTATTTAGCATCGATATACCCGGGCTTATTATTAGCGATGATCAAAGGGTAGCTTTCGCGTCGTGGCACGACGGCATCGTACGTCTTAGCTTGGGAAAATCGTTAACAAACGTGGCAAATGACCCGATACAGAGATTAGCAACGGTAGCAGAGGAATTGGCGATCGTCCATTTCGTTTTAGTCAGTCCTATAAACTCGCCGGTAGATCCATGGCTGGAACGTGGACTCTGCCTCTGTGCTTCCTTTCTTTCATTCAGAGACACAACGTAGTCGATAAAATTTCAATTAAAACAACGTCTAGCCGTTGTTGACGGTTGCACGGTCCTTTGAACGAATATACAATCAATTTTCTCTGTTATCTCGCGTATTGTCCCACCGGTCTACTCTGTGCATCGTCGAAACTTTATCTCGGTCAGTTAACAGCGCGTATTTTATCCCTAGACATTGATCCTTCGTGGAACACGGAGTGGTGACTTGTTTTATTATTTATTCTTGCTTTTATCGAATATTTAAGCTACGCAGTCGAATATCCAGCTATTGAAACGATGTTCTTTACTCTCCGTATGTATATTAAATACAGAGTGACATAGAAGTCGAACGATTTCTAGTTTCAACGCTCGGAAAAATTTCTAGGGATTTCCAGCGGTGCGTGTTAGTCGTATGAATTCTCTTTCGGTAAATTTATTATACCGGTTGTAAATTTTCGAGCACTCTATTTTTCCGTCTCTTTGTTATGACAGATTATTTTCGACACTGGAATAAACATTTTTACGCGTGCAAGTCTCCGATTATGGCAACTCCATTTGGTTGTAAAAAGACAAATTCGATTACTCGATCTTAGTTGCATAAAATTTGTAACGCTATTGGAAGATAAAGGAATAATCGTGAGTGCATGATTCATCGGTACGTGTATAACACCAGTGTTATTGGGAAAATGGATTATTTGTTTATCCCCAGCTAAGTCGATCCAATCAAAACTGTGATTCGAACATCTCGAACGTACTCTTTAATACGATCAGATCAAAGGCTATCTCTCGACTGGGAGCATCCTCCAAGAATCTTCCTCATTGAACGTATTTCTTTCCTATTTTTTCAAATCCGTTGATGAGAAATGTAATTCATTCAGCTTATTCAATTTACTCTCGCTTTAATGAGAGACATCGAGAAGATTAAAATATACTACGAATCTTGGTGTACGAAGATAGAAAATATATGAAAGATGTCTACGTTAACGTAACGATACAAATTATTAACAAAAAAAAAAAATTATAATTAATTTTCGAATATTATTTTATTATAGTTGTTTGAGCATCGAAGATAAATAAAAATATTTCGGTTTTCAATTTTATTTGATATTCGAATATAAATAATTATAAACAATTACAACAGTACAGAAAGTAGCTTTTAGGACTATCTCCCTCTTTCCTTTCGCCGCAGAATGATGAACCGACCGAGAACAGTCTCGTTCCGCGTTTCAGTGATTCAGTACATCCGTGACAGCGGAGTGGTCACAAAGTCCGGCGGTCCGGTTGTTCGTTTTACGTTAGTACACTAGCAGTATTCGATCGGTCGAAGCGTTAATCGCGTTACTCGCGCCGGTATAGGTTATGTCGCCGTACGTGCATGTTTTTATTCGCATAGGAGAACAATTGCTCTTGCGCGCGTCGAAACTGAGCACAAAAGATGCCGAGTCTCGTCGTGTTTGGCAGGCGTTGGCGTGTAGGCAGCGATGATTTGATTTTACCGGCTGCCACCTTGGCTTTTATTCACGCGTTCGAGTAAGTACAAGTATGTAAACTATGTTGCGGTAAAACAGGTGCACGATGTATTCCAAGCATATATCTGCTATGAACCTATCGGAATATTACATTTTTCCACCACCAGCTGTATCATCTCTTTCGTGATCGAAAGATAAATTTATCCGTGCCGTCAACAGTTTTCACTCGGTGATTTTGATCGATGAACGAATTTCGATGCATAACGCGGAACCACGCTTCGAGTTCGATGATCGACATTTTGTGACATTTGAGATGTCAAGAGTTCCACATGCATCGAAGAGGCGGCCGAGAAGTGCGTGACGTTTCGGTTCAATGCAATCGGGAGCAACATGTGAATCGTTTTATACGTGTTACACCTATTCACGCGTATTTATTTGTGTAACGCATAACGGACAGGTGTATATTTTATCGATTTTCATGATCATGTTTGGACTGAGAATATCAGATGCCGCTAGAGTGGTCGTAACGGTGCAAATGTCAATGCTGATTACTTTTGCGATCGCGTTGGTGTTTAAAATGTTACTCGAGACATGTTTGTCAACCCTAGTCATGTTATATCGGTATTTCTATTTCGCGGGTTACATTGCAAATGCCACACGGTACGAGGCAGAAAAGTAGTTGTGAACTTTGGCGGGAACGCAACGTAAACGGTATATTATTCGAAACACGTGACGCGTCACCAATTTCCCTGCCAATTTCTCCGCGCAATTTCTCTTTGTTTAAATTTTCTACGAACTTACAAAAGTTCGAGGATTTTACGGAAATTGAATAATTACAAACGCATTGCGACGAAATAATCGAAATAATCGACGATAATAACATAACCAAAATATTTTTCAGATTTTCGATATGTCAACGAAGAATCGTCATTTGAATAACGAATTGATATTTTTTAAATGATTTCTAGACGATATTAAATCAGATTTATACTTGCATCTTCGCGTGTCCAATTTGTTTCTCGTAATATTTTAATTAAAAATATCTCATAATGGTGGAATCTGAAATTTGCATAGAGGTTCGTAGACAACGATTGTTCCACAGGCCATGGTAACCTTCCGTAGTCGTTTACAACATTTCCCACTTTCACGACGAGGGTCTTAGATACGTCGTTCCATGGGGTTCGTTTGAGACGGTAAATAGATTTAGCGCGAACTCGACCGCGGCGTCGTGCAAGCTCGTCGGGCTTCCTTAGAAAGCAGCAAAGTGACACGAGAAACACGCATTCGGTTCTTCCGGTTAGAATGCTATTTTTCCTTTCTTTTCCTCTTCTTCTCGCGAGGAAAAAATTGCATTCTTTCCCTCTTCCAGTTTTTCCGTTCTTTTGTTTAATGAAAAATTCATGAACAACTGGGAACGCGAGCGCGCGCATTTTGGAAGTCGATTAAATTTCAAATTCGCCACGGTGCGGCGCTCTCGGCGCTGGTAACGTTCAACGATGTAAATTCCACGGGAAAACGCTCGTGACACTGAAAAGGGGAGCAGCGAATTTACTGCGAAAGAAACCGATAAAACTTCCCTTTGCATTCGCCGATTACGTAACGACTTTTCACGAGAGTGTTTTTAATATTCACTGAATGACGTTATTTAAGCGTAGCTCTGGAATGCGTTGTATCGGAGCAAAAATTTATCACTTTTTTCTTGAGGATATTTTCTTAAGAAAAGTTTTCCGTTTGATACCTTGGTGGGGAGAGAAGTGTTCTAAGCTATTGCTTATGTA